CTCATATGCATGCAAAAGTTGGACTATGAATAAAGAAGACTGTAGAAGAATTGATGCATCTGAGTATGGTATTGGAGAAGAATATTCAAAGTACCATGTACAGCCAGAGAACAAACAAATTTGTGTTGGAAAAAGTACAGCCAGAAAGTTCCTAAACATTAGGATGGTAAGACTTCTTTTCTCATACTTTGGACTTGTTATCAGGAGGGACTAATCCCTGGAGAACACTGTGCTTGGCAAAGTGGAGCCTCAGTAAAAAAGAGGAAGACCCCCAATAAGATAGCTTGGCACAGTGGCAGCAGCAATGGGCTCAAGTGTAACTTGTATTGCAAGGATGGCGAAAGACCAGGAAGTGTTTCATTCTGTTGTGTATGGGGTCACTACTAGTCAGAACTGATTCAATGGCACCTATGAAAAAAAAAAAGTGGGGAGGGAGATGTAGGGATTAGGAAAATGCCTAAGGTTTTGAAATAGTTGGTACTTTAACTATTTCTCTGCATGCGTGGGCAGAGAAAGGCAAACTGGCACAGTTTGAAAATATGGTCAGGCGCAAGTTATATAATACTCAATATACCTCAACTCATTTACATCAACACACAAACGCTCTCCTGTGCAGCACAAACACCATGTGCATATTTTGAGAACATTTTCTTGTGAATTGTTGCTGCATTTTATAAACAAAAAGTCCAATAACTAATGACTAATTTCCTACTTGTAGCATCTGACTCTTTCCCAAGCCTGGATCTCCAACAACAAGGACGTGTGGGTCTCCTCGAATTGGAATTCTGTTCTTGTCATCTGCATATTTCTGGCTTCCTCCAAAGAGTGCTAATGCCAAACCTGCTTTAACAAGCTCGAGTGTGGGGATAAAAAAAAAAGTAAACATAAAGATGAATCAAAAGGGGTATTCCTCCCATAAACTTGTAATACATATTTGTTTACAGCTTTTACTTTCTTGAAGCATGAGTGAACATTCTTCTATTTTGAAGTCTAAAACTACAAATTTCTATAATATAAATCATTAAAAAGAATTAGAGAGTACATTAAAATCAGAGAGGCATCATACAAGTCATTGAGTTGAGACTTACCATGCAAGGCAGGTATCCACTCAACAAAAAATGATAAATATTTAACACTGTAAGTGTCCTGAGTTACCATAATGGAAGCCCAGTGCAATCTAATAAGTTGTTGTTGCTGCTAAGTGTCATCAAGTTAGTTCCGACTCAGCAACCTTATAGTTTCCAAGGAGCAGCTGGTGGGTTTGAACCACCAACTTTGTAGTTCAAACTGACCTGCGGCCCAGTGCTTTATCCCACAGTGCCACACCAGGATTCCATTTAATAAGTTGCTGTTGTTGTTAAGTGCTATCGAGTCAGTTCCAACCCATAGCAACCCTGTATTAGGTTCCCAAGGAGT